TTAAAATAGACTATTATGCTACCAGAAATATGAATTAAAGTGTCTTGACCAACACTGCAGAGATCAGGAAATAGCTGTTACTTAAGAGTTGAATGAACAGAGGAAGTTAGAAGTGTGATATGCTATCAGGGTGGCCCCGAAAAGCCATGGTCACAGGACAGGCAGTAGGGGTCCTAAGGACAGCTGGTGCCATAAGGGCACCAAGAGATAGCCACCCCTGAATACACAGGGACCTCCTCTTATGTGCAGCTCTGGTTTGGTCTGGGCCCTTTGTCAAATTAAGTGCAAATATCACCAAAGCCTCCTAATACATCTCTGCAGATGATACTGGGTGCCTGGAAATGTCCCTTACTTGTTGTTGGGGGGCAGCTAAAAGCCTTACACACTTTCTCAAATGATCTCTGTTCCGTTTGCTGCTCCTCAGATGTCATTCTTGGGGTAACAGAAAAAGCAAACAGGCATTGTGGTGCTCAAAGGCTGTTACCAGGAAAGGCCGGGAGTTCCTCCATGTTCATCCAGCTTGCCGAATTCCACTTTGCTCCCCTGACTTTCCTGGATGCTCCATCCTTTCCCTTCCCATTCTCTGTTCCCAGTGAATGCTAGTATGAAATGCCAATCCTCTGCTCACAAAGGTCTGCTTGCCAGGAGAAAATGTGCACATGTAACCTTGAGCTCCCAACACCTTCCCTAACTATTTCCCAGAAGTACCTGCTTTGGGCCGACTCAAATGTCCATGCCCTGTTTATTAAGAAGCATGTTTCTAGAGTTAGGAAGGGACAAGGCAGACAAGTTTTCATTAACATTTTAGATAGATTTCTGCCACTGGTTGGGCACAGAAACACAAACATGCTTTCTGATTCTAACCCCAAGAAGTACTATGATATAAGCCAATCGTGGTTTGAATGTGGAATTGTTATGTGCTAAAATCTCTCTGTGGGAGGGTCAGATCCCAGGGCTATAACCCCACAAAGCCTGAACTAACCAAGTTTGAGTTGGGTGTGTAACAGACAGGCTTTCAGTTTTCCAAAATCAGCATCTTCTACCTGAACTATCTTATTTGCATCAGACTTGAGCTAATACGCTTCTCCCTCTTCTGTCTATTAAAATCCAGGGAAGAAACTTGTTCCTAGAGTCATAGAGCTGGGTCAAGAATGAGATTTTCATGTCAGCCTAAACCCATGGGCTTCTCTCTCTCCTGGGAAAGGGCTCTGACCCAGGGGCAGGACCACGATCAGAACTGTGATACTGCTTGATAAAATGCTGCTCGGAACGGCAAGACTGAAGATGGCTGCACGTTCCATCCCACAGAACCCACAGCTCACACCCGCCTCTTCTTCGTGGCTGCTTGTGGCCATTAACACTGAGCCTGGAGCCTTTTGTCTTACTCATCTGTGTGTCTGCCTTCAGTTTCCTAAGCAGGTTTCCGGCTGTGCCTTGGCCTCCCTCCCTCTCTTCACGTGACCTCGCTTCGCTCACCTTGCTAGCCTGTGGGCTTTGACGGCCACCTAAGTGGGCTGTCACAGTGAGAACTGCTGAAGTCCCCACACTTGCCGGGAATGGTGGCTGCACAGACCTAGAATCCCAGCATTAGGAAGATGGAGGCACCAGGATGGAGGGTTCGAGGACAACCTGGACTACAGGGCGACAAGATTATCAACAACAGTCCGGGCACTGTGCCAGGCAGTACTGCCATGTCCCTGAGCATACACACTCCTGTCTGTGGGGGAGAACGCAGCGGCTTCTTTACTTTAGGTGAGGGTAAGAGACAGGCCAGGACTCAGAATCCCCAGGCCCCCCCAGCAGAGCTGAGGTTCCATCCATTTCACTGTCCCGAAAAACTCATGATTCTCAACCCTTCCCCCCCCCCCCCCATCACACTTCAGATTCCGGTCTCTTCCCGGACAGCTTCTCCTAACACAGGGCCCTGTTCCTCGGACATGCCACCTTTCTCTGCACGCCTAGGCTCTTGTGCCAGCTGTGTCTGTCCCTCCTCCCTCCCCCCTGCACCCCACCTCCTGATACTACCCTAGGCCACATTGCTCTCTCAGCAGTGACCATCAGTGGATTTCTGTTGCTAGTGAAACCACACGCAGATGCCAACATGTATTACTCAAAATCCCAACTGGCTTTTCTGCCATCTCTTAGAACTTCCTACAAGTAAGTCCACTATGAGCAGTGAAAATGAGCAACTGAGGAGGCCCTGGGTGTGTGACTGACCTCAGACTGTCAATTTGATTGGATAAGCACCCAAGAGACCAGGAGGGCACAGGTGGGTGTGACTGTGAAGATGTGGACCTTTCCAGAGACAATTAGACCACCAGGGCTCTGCCCCAGTGAGTGGATTGATCCACTCATGGACTTGCTGTCTTATGAGACCACTGGAAGGCGAGGCCTCACTGGGAGAAGGTGCATCCCTAGGGTCCCCATCTTGCCCTTGCCCCTTCCTGTTCCTGCTCCACTCTCCTTCCTATCCACCAAGTTGGGGGCAGCTCTGCTTCCTGTTGGCCATTAGGTGAGCAGCCTCCCGCTGCAGTGATACCTTGCCTTGCACTGGGGCCCCAAATGCAGAGCCAGGTGGTTGTGGGCTGAACCTGTGGAACCCTGAGTAGAATGAGTCTTTCAGTGCTAGGCGACATCTCAGTAGAGATGCTATTTGCAAAAAGAGGACTCAGGTTTGGATCCTTAGCGTGGCAGCATGTGCACCTGTGCTCCAGTGCTGGGGTAGGGGTGTGCTGGAGAGAACTGGATCCTTGCAGCTCACTGATCAGCCAGTCTCCCTGAAATGGTGAATTCCAGTGTCACAATTATTTTTCTGCTGCTGTAATAAGGCACCGTGACCAAGGCAACTTACAGAAGAAAGGGTTTATTGGGCTTATGGTTCCAGAGGGTTGGAGTCCATGACCATCATGGCAGAGAGTATGGAAGCAGGTAGGCATGGTGCTGGAGCAGTAGCTGAGAGCTCACATATTGATTCACAAGTGCAAGGCAGAGAGAGCTAACTGGGAATGGCATAGCGTGAGCTTCTGAAACCTCCTAAGCCCACCCACAATGACACACCTCCTCCAACAATGCCACACCTCCTAATCCTTCTCAAACAGTTCCACTGATTGTAGATCAAGTGTTCAAACATATGAGCCTATGGGGCCACTCTAATTCAAACCACCACATCTAGATTTGATGAGAGATGGTCTCAGAACAAATATAAGGTAGAAAGTGACACAAATAGATATACCTGATGTCAGCATCTGGCTTCCACATACGCAGGTGCATGCATGGACACCTATGGCCCCCCACCACAGGCATGCATGCACACATGCACACATGCACACACACATACCTTTCTTCCCTCGAGGCCTGCCAGACGTTTTCACACTGATGGTGAGAGCTAACCAACACCTCTGAGGGTCTGAGTGACTCATTTCCAGCCTGTGTTTGGCTGTGCCTCACAGGAACTCACTCTGATCCAGCAGACAAACCCCGATGCACAAGTCCTGCCTTGTGTATTATTCCCCAGGACACACAGGCACCCCCAACACCCCCTTCCACATCAGACGCCGCTCTGACTTTCAGCCTCTATAGATTCTTATCACATGACTGGCAAACCTGGCACACCCCCTTTCAGTTGGCTGTGCTCCTACAACTGAGCCCTACAGAAGAGGGGCATGCCATTCTTTGCACTGCATTCTCAGAAGTATTTCATACAGAAGACTTAACAGGTGAAAATAAACACAAAGTTACTAAACTGATTCAAACTCTGATGGAGCACAGCCGTGGGGTCACATATGTGAGGTCTGCATCTTAGATAGGAAATGTTTCCCACAAACACTATCCAGAACGTGTGACTACAGCTATGAGAGTCCCTCAGGGGACTCATTATCTTTCCCCCATATTTAGAAAAGGAAGAGAAGAGAAAGCTAAATGTGGGGAAATGAACAAACTAGTAGATTCTGTCCACGTCAAAGGAAGAATGCAGAGAAAGCAGTCATAACCAGAAGCCAGGAGTGAAAACGCCTGGAAGATGCCAAGGTATAAAAGCTCTGTGCACAGCCTTCTGGAGACTCAGCTACTGACAGGCAGGCAAATCAACACTGTGTTGACCTAGTTTTAATAAGACAATGCCCAGATAGATGGACAGACAGACAGATGGATGTATCAATAGGTGGAATGATAGGTACACAGGCAGGCAGACAGACAGACAGACAAACAGATAGAGGATAGGTGGAAAGATAGATACATAGATGGTTGAATGGATGGATATAAACAGGTGATGGATAGATAGACAGATGGATGGATAGATTTTAGATGAATGGGTGGATGAAGGTTGGGTGGATGGACGCATGGGCAGGCTGTGGCAGTATTGTGTCTTTATTTATCTAAGTAGGTGACCCTCAGGGTCAGGTCTAGAGCCCCTCTCCTTACCCCCGTTACCCCCTTTAGTTAGTCCCTCTCCTTAACTCACTCTCTTGGCCTCACTCTCCCACAGGTGCTGACCAAACACCTCCCTTAGGACTGGACAGAAGGGTCAGCTGTGTCTCCCACAGGCTCCCCTAGAGCACCTGTGTTCCCAACACAAGACTTTGCAAATTATTGATTTTGGAAATTGAAGGAATCTTTTGAAGCCTGACTCTTCTGTCTATGTGTGACAATATGACACTTCCAGATGTGGGAACCGAGAGGTCCAGTGAGGACTGGAGGTCTGGGGTCAGGGTTTAAGGGTCAGAGGTTAGTGACATCAATGGGAAGCTCTACACTGCACAGGTAATCCCCGAGAGGATGCTACTTGTACACTGGAGACATAGATTTGACTGGATAACAACCATGATGTCAGCAATGTAGAAATTCTCCAGTGATTGACAAGCCTATTTAAAGGCTCTCAAAAAGCTAGAGCTAGAACATCTCTCACCTAAGAGGAGGGCAGGGAGAGGAGGACATGGAAGGCCTCTGGGCTGTGATATGATCACAGGTGGAGAATCAGGACTAGCTGAGGCAGCCTCACTCACCGCGATCATCTGAGCCACGTAGCTCTCGGGCCCTGTGTATTCCGTCGGGTCCTTCACCTTCACCAGGACGATGAAGTACAAGTAATGCCACATGTTGTGCTCTGACTTAATGTGCTCCTCGAAGGAGACTGTCTTGTTGTCAAACTTGTCCCTCTCCAGGCCTGCAAAACACAGGACACACTCTGTATGCAATTTCCCATCAGTCAGGACTTCTTAGCATAAAAATAAAACACAACCATTATTGAAAATCAACAAGCTGCTTTCTGGAAGAGTGTGCCACTTTAAAATACTGTCATAATTAAAAACGATATATGCCGGGCGGTGGTGGTGCACGCCTTTAATCCCAGCACTCGGGAGGCAGAGACAGGCGGATCTCTGTGAGTTCCAGGCCAGCCTGGGTTCCAGGCTGAGTTCCATGAAAGTGAGTTCCAGGAAAGGTGCAAAGCTACACAGAGAAACCCTGTCTCGAAAAACCAGTATATATATATATTTATGATAGACCCATTCCCAACTAACGTTTATTCTCCTCCCATGATCCTTGGGAATACGCAGTTCTATCACAGAGGGAAGAGCTACAGGTAATCTTATATTTAGTCATGTCAAAACTGTCAAATTCAACCAGACCAAAAGTATAAGGGAAAGAGACAACGATCATTGTTCAAGAAAAAGAAATGCAGCTCAATAGGAAAAGCATTTGCCATAGAAGCCAAGTGATCTGCGTTTGATTACCAAGCCCACATAAGGTCTAATTCAGTAGAACCCACCTGTAATCCTAACACGCCTACTGCATGATGGGAAGCAGAGACAGGAGAATTGCCTGGAAGCTTGCAGGCACCAGAAACACTAGACAGACCCCGCCTCAAAACAAGGTGGAAGGTAGACATGACTCTCTCTGCTCTCCACAAGTTGTTCTCTGCTCTCCACATGTATGTACTGTGGCCCTCACACAGGCTGGTGCACATACACACATACACACATACACACATACACACAGGCACACATACACACAGGCACACATACACA